AAAATTATGATTTGTTGTTTTAAACATTTATTTATTTTTACGTTTTGGTGATCTCCAGTTTAGAGATGATATACTCTTTAAAAATTAGGTCCAAATCCATCTAAAAAATGAATTTTTTAAATAACGCTCATTTCTATATATGATTTAGGATTCATAGAAACCATATCCTTCTTTCATCCTCTCATGTATTATATTCTATTCACTAACACGAGAGCGCGAAACCCAACACCATAAAATGAAATGAGAGAGTATATAATGTAGAGCATGTAAAACACTATTTTACACTACTTGTTGTATCCACTGTCCTTTCAGACATTGGATAATGAAAATGAACCATTTTTTCAATTCAATGAAGATGGATAGCATAGGCATGGATGTGCACTATACATACTTTTGTTTTGGGTGAATCACCGGGGAAAGGGTCCCTACTCTTGATAGGAAATGAGCTTAAGATGTAGCGTTGCAAATTGTCAAGCACTAACCAATTAAGCCCGAGCTCTTTTCCTAATGTGTAGTATACATACAGCACAATAAATGTTGCGATTGTGCAGTATAAACATAATTTAATACATGTAGTAGTCAACTTTCAAAAGGAAATAGTATGATACATGTGGTACATAAAACTCTCTCCTTAAGATTAGAAGTCAAAAGATTATTGCTCAAGAGGGATCATAATGTACATTTACATCGGGGGCATAATGTACATTTACACCTTTGGTAAAACCCCACATATTTTTAGGATCCCAAATGTAACATTCTCAATTGGACAAACATAAAAGAAGAAAAAATTGATGTGCATTCCATGTGTGCCTGAAAAAATATAACATCCCAGCATTGAACAAAGATTATCCTATTTTTAAAGTGCATCCCAATATTTCAAATCAAGGAAATCTTCTGAAAATTAGGATTTTTTTTTTAAAGTGCATCCCAATATTTCAAATCAAGGAAATCTTCTTAAGTAAATCATTTGCTGGATATGGTAGTTTTTTGGTGTGCTCCTACTTGAGAGTGGTATAGGCTCTCCAATTTTAATCAGTAATTGTCATTTTCCCTGAACTCTATTCATTAATTCTCTTATTATGTCTTTGTGCCTACGTCAATGCCCATTTCAAATGTGCTGTATTTATCATAATTGATCAGGCCATCATCAATCCGAGGGCCTGTTTGGATGGCCGTTATTTTTATCTAAAAGAACACCATCTTATCTAAAATTATTATACTCTCCATAAAATTGTCATTAACTGATTGTTATGTACCTTATATTATACAATAGTGGTTGTTTATTTAACTTTTATAGTGATTTCTAATTATTTTCAGCTATCTTTAATAAAAACATAATTTGAGCAAATTACTTTCAATAAAATAAAAACAGCTTTTCAAAATAATAAACTTATGTGTGAAATTGCTTATAAGTTTATCTCATATAACTTTATGATGGACACTATCAAATAATTCAAAATTCATTACCATGATTAATTTTCTTGAAATAACGAATTATTAGCGATAAGCATGTAATCCACACATACTCTCACTTTCTTAGGCACGTTATTTCATTATCCTACCGTTTTTTCAAATAATTATGAAATAATGCATAATTCATTATCCTACCGTTTTTTCAAATAGTTTAGGAGTTAGCATTTTTTTAAGATGTTCATGGGGTGGTGTCAGTAAGAATGGAAACCACAATGTGGTGACTTGGACGTTAGGTTGCTACCACAACGACCCATACCGTAGCCCATATTCAAATTGATATTTGACTTGATATAACTTTGCAATACATTTCCAAAGGTCTTATAAACAGGCAATGATTTCATGCAACGGTTGTATCATAGTATAATGCAACGACACTTCTAGAAAACCATGTTTGTGGTATATGTATGACGCAAAATTTTGCACACACACTCTATTCATCACAATAATCAATCCCAAAAAAAAAAAATTTCAATTTGAACCCTAAATGTGGTTAAAATGAGTCCCCTCAAAAAACGAATCTAGACTATTCATTTGGTGAAATTCAAGATCTTAGCCTTTATAAACTCAAAAACATTTTTTTCTTTTTTCACATTGTTCATCTAATGGTAATAAAGCCATCTAAAAAAATTGGAAATGAAAAACTTCTTCTAAGGCCTAGATCTAAGCATCTCACCAAAATAAACGATCTATGTTAATTAGGCTAAAAAAATACTTTCTAGGTTGTGTTTTCAAAATTTTCTTTTTTGTAATTGTTCATTAGAATGAAAAAAGTGTATATTTCAAAATTTGGATCAAACAAATAGCCATAACATGATTTTTGAAAGTTATTGCATCATATTACTATACACCCATGAAATCATTGTGCCTCGTAAGATAACGACTGAGATAAGGATTAATAAGGCGGCCAACTAATAAAAGGTTGTTTGGTTCACTTTTATATAGTTGAGGCTCAAGGCGTCTAACTAAAAGAAGGTTGTTTGCTTCACTTTTATATAGTATTCACTTTTATATGGTTGAGGCCTTAATTTTGCATAAAGAGAAGGGCTTGTTTGGTAATGCTCCAAATGAATCAAATTTGTCTTTGTGGTTTTGTTAAGTAGGGCTACAAATGGGTTTGGCGAGTCTTGCTTGTGTGTGCATGGTTTGTCTAGGCTGAACTTGGACCAAGACCCAAACACAAAACCAGACCTGGGTTGGGCCGACCAGATAGATTTGGACCCATACCTAAATAGAAAATTAGACCCCGAACCACACCCAGACCAAACTAAGATGTTAGACCCTGAAACACACCCAAGACCCCTCCCGGCATGTTGGATGGTGGATGAACTTTTAAATTTGCGCTGAGAAAAGATTGTATCATTGAGATTGTCTTAGTGCAGACCACAACAGCTTGTTTTTCCTCTTTATTATGGTTAGGTTTTGGGGTGTTAACTTGGTGATTAAGACAAAATATCCAAAAAAACGACATCCCCATAATTCCTGCCCTGTCCCCATTTTTGAATTTCATGACTTCACCATGTCCTTCTCCCACTTTTAAATTTTATAAATTAAAAAAACCGATATAATCAAGGGAAATAATTTGATAGGGCTGCAACACTATCAAAATAAGTAAAACCTCACCTCATAACTCATCTAAAATTGCAATTCAAGTGTTGGAAAACTTTTAGATTGACCATCTTGGCTTGAATATAATGATAGAGAAAAAAAAATGGATTTCAAACTCTAAAAACAACGTATATTGTAACAAATTATCTAAAGTGTTTATTTCGCCTTAAAAGTAAGTGTTCAAATATATATACATTTTTTTTTTCAAATATATATACATTCTTTTTACTTTGAAATTTTACAGTCAATGTTGAAAATTAATTTTGGAGCCATTATGGAAGTTTCCATTGCTTAAATTGCTTTTCGGATGACGATGTGAGGTGATGCTTTATTTTGCTTTCCCAAAACCTAGACCTTATAGAATCTTCATCCTATAATCAATATTAGCACGTTGTTGATATGAATCTCTAGGGTCCCCATCCCGAGTCCATAAGAGAATTTGCAAATTGGATGTCGAGTTCTAGGTCAAACTCGGCCTATATTCGCCAAAACCAGGACTTAGGTACTGAAGAATCGGTCTTTTTTACCACCTCTTCGTGACTGTCACGGTCCAACCTGGGAAATTACCACGTTCGACTCCTAAGACTTTGATTAAGGGAAGTCTTCAACGAGTCAAAACCACCTTCAAAATTATTGAGGGGGTAAAAATGTATTCATTAATGAATGAATTTTTATTTTTTATTTCACCTAGGAAATTTCCCAAAAAGTATCCTCAAAATGATAAAATTTAAGATTTAGAACCTTAAATAGGTAGTGATATTTGAACAATTTGACTGACCTACAAAGCTCCAACCAAATGAAAAAAATACCCATGATTGTACCAAGTACGTCAAATTACGTAACGCCTGTGCTCGTTCGGGTTTCGCAATCCATGACCAAGGATCTCTTGAGTAATTTTTATGGAAATTTATCAAGTTATCTTTGAGCGACGGATAATTTAACATCGTGCCCATATATGTTTGTTTTAATGATAAAATACCTATAAAAAAAATACATGATCTTGAGTGGGAATAGTGACGATCGGATAGAATGTTAGCTAATTAATCTCTAAGAGATATTTTAATAAATTTTCCTAATCTTTACAAATATTTTTTTATGAAAGCACTAGAATAAGATAAAAACTAAAAAAAGAAAAAAAAAATTTATATAAAGTTGCAACCTCAAATTATAGAAATAAGGTGCATGCTAGAAATCCATTGTTTTGATATTAAAAAACCCTCTAATTGATGTATAAAAATTAAAGAGTTTTTTTTTTCAAGTCTGAAAAAATAATACATTTTTCATCATATTATCTACATCTACTTTGATTTGAACCAATTTTTGAAGTTTAAAATTTTATAAGAGAATGAAAATAAATTGCAAGACTATCTTAAGAATTTTCACATTGGAATTACATCTAGGTCCCTCCACTTTAAAGTTGCAACCTCATGCAAACCACACCAAAAAATAAATCTTTGCATATTAGTGAAATCCCAAAATTTTGTAAAGGATCCAGTTTCTTTGCGGCCAAGCCTACATAGGTAGAAATGTAGGCCTCTTAATAAATTTAAGACTTAATTTTTAAGGACATGCAATCTCTAATATGGAGATGTGAATAAATAAATAAATTTTAAAAATTAGAAATAATAATTTTAGTAAAAAAACATTTGGAATGTTAATTCTTATTATTATTTTAAAATGAAACACCTATTTGCATCCACCGTTAAGAGGGGTGCTCTACATTTTCTGGACCGCATATGTAGAAATGCGGTCCAGCCCGCATGAAATAATTTTCCTTTTGGTAAAAAGCTTCGACGTGAGGTTCTAAGGGCTCATACGAAATTCCATTCGAACTCGCTATTATTTTCATAATTTCTCACAAGGCTGGAGGGCATTTTGGACCGATTTCTCCCCCTAGATAAATCTGATTCTCTATCCGGGTTTGCTGGGAATCCTCAGATACGCGAGAAAAGTTTTTAGGGAAACCACAAGGGGGATCTCTTTCTCTCTGTAAGATCTAAGTCTTTTTCATAGAAAGCGATCGATTTTCCGACGATTTTGATTGTTTCCTGGTTGATCTGAGAAATCCGACTTCTTCACGACGTGCTTCGCCGGAAAATTAGCTAGAGGTAGGCTTCACGGCTTGAATATCTCAAAACAAATGTTTTGAAAAATGTCATAGACCGGTGTTTGCTGGCCTTTTTTTTTGTGTTTTTTGCTATGATCTTTAGATGTTTTTAGAAACTTCTGAATTTGTTTCTGAAAACTTGTTCTCTTTAAGGATCTCTTAAGGATCTGGTTATTTTCTGTGATTTCTCGTTTTTGGTGGAATATTTTGGATTGTTGCAGATAAATGGTTTTGTTTTGAGCTCGGGATTTCATGTTCTGCCATCAAATTTTGTGTGCTTATTTGTCTTACTTTAGCTGGTTATGGCTTTATTCAATGAATACTAGCTCTCTTTGGCTGAATCTCTCCCTGTTTTCTCTTTGAATCTCAAAAAAAAAATAGTTTTGTCCATTTTTGTTCTTAATGATGCATTGATGATTTAATGGTCGAATAATACAGTTCAGTAGGGGCAGATTGTGCAAAAACTGAATCTTGATCCATATTATCGAATTTCCATTTCAATAGTTTTGTTCCTAGTTCATCTTACCATGTTCCAATTCTGTTGCTTTATTGTATATATATTTTTTTGAAACTGTGTGACTAAAAGGAAGGGTTTTTTTGATGCAGATCTCATTTTATAGGAATGGCTTCGGCACCAGCTTCAACAGGATGGTTGAAAGCGAGAGTAAAAGCTGTTCCTTCCGGTGATTGTTTGGTGGTTATGGGCTTAAATGCAAAGACAGAGATACCGCCCGAAAAGACAATAACTTTGTCATCTCTTAT